ATATATTAGAGTAAACCAAAAAACCCTTGGTCAGCCAGTGATCAAAACATTTCACACTCATCATAAGGAGAAATATTTGCGTACGGAAAGCATACGCAGAGTTGAGTACATTTTAGGTTATTCGGAGGGTAAATCTAGATTATATTTAAGTTACAGGAAAAATTATAAGGAGGTATAACTTAAGTGTAATCTATTTGTACACTCTGAATAACCTAAAATGTACTCAACTTTGCTTACGCACGCAAATATTTCTCAACCGCAAGGATTAGAATTCAAATATACCAACAGCTAACTTTATAAAATTAAATGTATAGGAAGATTTACATACATACCACTCAATTAATATATTCTTATGTATTTACATATCTAACATTTAAATTTAAATTTTTACAAACCTACCACATTACTAATATGAAATGGTTCATTTCACTTTTTTTAAAGTGAAAATTATGGGTGGTAAATATAAAAAGTGAAGAATAGGAGAGTTAGATATTTAAATACATAAAGATTTCGTGGTATTTATGTAAATGCTCCAAGTATATATAGACATGCCCGCCATCCTCTCCAGTGTTTCCCCTTCTCTCCCAGCTTTTAAAGCTCCAATGCGAGCAATGCACTCTTCAGCTCCTGCTTGGAGTTCTTTCTCACTCTCCCATTTTAGATTTTGATTCAGTACTCCTGGATTTCTCTTGATCGAAATTTTTATTTTTATTTATTTATTTTTTTTTTGCTTCTTGTCTCTGTTCCAAATCCCTACTTCTATGAAGAAGTTTCAATTCTTTGTTTTTTTGGTGGAAAGTTTAAGATCGTAGGGCACTTGCATTTGCGCAGTTGGGACGAAGAACAGATATGTAATCCGTATTTTTATCTGAAAATTTGAGTTCTTGAGTGATCGGAGGGAGCATGGAGGAGACATTTGTGCCTTTCAGAGGCATAAAAAATGATCTAAAAGGGAGATTTCTGTGCTACAAGCAGGACTGGACTGGAGGGTTCCGGTCAGGCGTTAGGTATTGTTAGAATTTGTTTCAGATTTTCAGATTTTTCTCTCTTTTAAATTTCATGTCATTATGTTCTATAATCCGAAATTTTATGCTATTTTTCTCAATTTATTTCTCATTTTTCGTTATTGTTGGTAGAATTCTGGCTCCCACGACCTACATCTTCTTTGCTTCAGCAATTCCTGTAATTTCATTTGGAGAGCAACTGGAGAGAAATACTGTTCTATTGATTTTTTTTTTTTTGGGTTTGTGGAAAGTGAATTTTAATTCAATTAAAACTTGGATTATGAACAGATGGTGTGATTACAGCAGTGCAAACCCTAGCATCCACTGCAATTTGTGGGATAATACACTCAATAATTGGAGGTCAGCCTTTGCTGGTCCTTGGAGTTGCAGAACCTACAGTCCTCATGTACACATTCATGTTTAATTTTGTGAAAGATAAAGAAGAATTAGGCAGAAAGTTGTTTCTGGCTTGGACTGCATGGTAAGCTTTCACATAAAGATGAACTTTTGGAAATTTACTTACATACCACACAAATCTGATGTATTTACATATCTAACATCTAAACTTTCTGTCTCATAGTCACATCAAAACCTACTTATGAAAAATGTGTATTTCACTTTAAAAAAGCTAGTAATAGTAGTGTTTTTGATATGTTCTTAATGATTTGAATGTTATTTAAGCAAAAATATTGAAGTTTAGGTGTTAGATAAGCAAATACATAGGAATTGTGTGGTATGTATGCAATACTTTATGTAAATTGTGGTTCTATCAATGATAATTTATATAATTTTATCTTCAACATAATCTATGATTTGTCTTTATTTTTATACTTTCAGGGTGTGTGTGTGGACTTCTTTCCTGTTATTCCTACTGTCTATTCTCGGCGCATGCTCAATTATAAATAGATTTACCAGAGTGGCTGGTGAGCTATTTGGTATGCTGATAGCGATGCTGTTTATGCAACAGGCTATTAAAGTAAGAAGTGAAATCTCCGCTCTTTTTTTAAATTATTTTTATTTAGGGAAATTTACACACGTAGCACACAATTCTTATGTATTTACAAATCTCACACTTGAACTTTCATATAGTTGAATCCGAAAATGTCCGAGAAACACACCCAAGGTATATAATGTTCTGCTAGGACGTACTTAGAGAGAGAGAGAGGGCACAATAAAAGAGTCTAGCCTTTCTTCATGGCACGGATCCCCTATTTAGAGGAATAGGTCACAGTTGCTACAAAATTACAAGTTTGCCCCCTCATTATTATGTTTGAGGGGGGTCGTTTAGTAACTATAAGAACATTAGAATATAATAAGGCTGCGAATATATTCGGTTGATGAGAAGTCTGCCGACCGCTTTATACGCCTTAACTTCATTGGTACAGAGTCTGGGACTGAGCAACTCGTCGATTGTCTTTGGAGTCGATCGTCGTTCTATAGGAAATTATTTGTTGCATTCTTCTAATCGCCTGACCTCAATGCCTTCTCCGTTAGCATCTAATCTCGGTCGTCAATAAGGCGTCCAATCGATCAATCCTTGCTCTAGAACCGTCCGGTTACCTTAAGATTGCGTTGACATATTTTTCATATACATTTACATACATAACATAACACTTTGGTGCTTTTACTATTAGCGAACTTTAGGAAACTGGCGTGTTTTATCAAAGATTATTATAGACAAGAATGTGACAAGGAATCAATTATGTGTCATCGTTACTCAATGGCTTTAGCTGGAACTCAAGGGCTGAATTTTTTAATTATGTTAATAAAGGGGAGCAATTGGGTCATTTACCCCCTAAATATTTGAATTTGCCCCCTTTCTGCGTGCTCAACCTTGTAAGTTGTAACGCATGAGGCCACTGACAGTTCACACAACTAATAAATCTAATTATGTTAACCCACAGCAAGCAAACTAACATATTTGAAATCAGAAAATATCCTTTTTATATTAAAACACATCTCACCTAAAATTTCACTTTACTCGAACAAACATGCTCAAGCTGTTCTAAACGGTCCCAAAATTGTGTTAAGTTTTACAATTTAAACAACAAAAGTAATCTATTATTTTAAGATTTGGGACTAAAGAAAGGTACAACCACGACTATAAAAGTGATAATTTTTTATTATTTATTATTTTCTTGGGGCATTTACATATATACCACATAATTCTTATGTATTTACATATCTAATACCCAAACTTTCATATATTTACATACACGACACTCAATTCTATAATATCACATCAAAATTACTACTATCGCCTACTTTTTAGAAGTTAAATAAATCTTTTCAGGCATGAGTTTACGACATTAAGTTGTTATAAATGTAAACGTTAAAAGTTTAGGTGTTAGAGTGTACATATATAAGAATTGTGTGGTATGTATGTAAACTTCCCTTTTTTTTTTTTTTTGTCAAGTGCCTTCTCACATGAGCAGTTATGTTTCAAAGTATTATCATAATTTTCTTAC